CCATTACGCTAACTGCTGGTTCCCCCAAATTTTCAGTTTTTTGAGAAGTCTCCATCATGCTGGCAATTTGACTAATATTAACTTTTGAATCTCTCTCTGATATTGGACCTGTCACTATCTCCTTTGAAGTCTACATAAACACTTTGAGTATTTGCTTTTCTGAAATTGTTGTATGAAAATATAGTAAGAGTCATCAAATAGAATATCACCTCAAGATAAAACTCTTATTTCTTAGCATCTTAGAGTCAAAAGCTGAAAACTCAAACAACAAAATCCTTTCACTACTTGCAAAAGACTTTCTCAGAGGAGACATTTAAAAATTCTGAGATTTACCCTGATGATCCATACAATGTGAAATTCCTTCCCTTCTCATTTTCTGCTAAGAAAAGTGAAAAACTTCCTTCTTGTCTTACTGATCTTTCCGTATTGCTTTTCCTTATAGGATCTGATGGACCCCTCCCCCACTCCCAAGTGGGAATGTCATCCATTGAGCTGGCAGCAAGGCGTGACTTGAGTTCCCCTTGCCAGGTCATAATCTCCACAAGAGAGACTGGGCTGTGTGATTCTTTGTGTCCTGAGTGTCATATTGCTGCTTACTACCCAAATTATGGGTGAATGGTCTCTCAGTGTACGCTCTTTCCTAGAATGCTCACAAAATTGTTATTGTCTTTCAGGGTAAATGAACTTTTACTCTATTTTTCTAGCAAGTAATCGGTTGGAAGGTCCATGGGAGCTGAGATCATAATGTAGTCAGAAAACAAGTATTCTCAGGAGGCATTGGAATGTCCTGCCTCTGTGGTAGACTATCCCAAGTTTCACAGACGTTGAGTGTCTTTAAGAACGAGGCACTGGAAGTATGCCTACAGTAAAGAGGTGTAGCTGGTGACCAACTGCCTTATCTTAGTCAACAGGCTCCATTGCAGGACCATCTGAGGGGAGACTCGGGGGTTAGCCATGACATGTCATATATCTTTTTTAATGAAATGTTGTTGCCAATTAGGTGAAAATGAGAACTCGAGCTCATAACCATAAAAGCTCACCTAGTGAGTCTGATGCCTGCTGAGCTCGATATTCCCTTGTGGTCGGAATGTTGCTAGCATAATGGAGCATTAGCCATGTCCAGATGAGAGCTTTTAACAGACTGTACCAACCAGTTGGCCTAAGTGGGCATGGCTGAGTGTGGCTGCTTCAGTGGGATCCCGGGGAAGCACTGGGCTGTGGCTCACCAAGACCAGCCCTCAGCCCTGAGCATGGTGCTCTCCTAGCTTGATTTTCCAAGACATCCAGGTGAATTTGGAACAGTCATGTAATTGGGATGGTGATGCTAGATTCTTGTCATCCTTGTTTGATTTATAAGCATTTATTGAGCCATTTGTTATTTATACGGCACTTCATCCAGGACTAGGGAAGGGGGATTGGTGTCTATCAGTGGTTCCCAAAGTTTTGAACATGAGGATCCTACTTTTAATGTTGTATTTTCTCAGTCAGTGGCTAATTTGCATATAAAATGGCAAAAAAGTCTCTAGGTATTTATTAAGCCCTTTAAAACACTTGTATTTTTGGGAACCAGCAGTTAGCGTAATGGCTATATTGCTAGACTCCCACGTAGTCGACCGCAGTTCGCGTCCCGGACCAGGTGGCTTAAAACTCATGCTGGGCGCGTGTACTTGCGTGCCCAAGATCCCGAGAGGAGAATGGAGGAGAAGGGATTGCGGCGTGACCATCCCCCCTGGGGGGTGATTTCTCGCTTTCTGTCTCTATGTCTCTCTCTGTCTGTCTGGCGAGCACATGCGCCCTATAGCAAAAACCTCTCCCCCCCCAAAAAAAAAAGAAAAAAGAAAAAAACACTTATATTTTTAAAGTACAACCTATGTATGATAGTTAATAGGTATCAGTGATAAAAGAAGCAATATTGTTAGTCTCCAGGAAATGACATGTGGAAACTGATCTTGTATTTCCTTTCAATGAACTCATGACCATTCAAGCAACAAACATCAGCTCCAGTGTCTTTACATTGTGAAATCCTGCTGTAACTGCATAGATGGGACATGGTTCTAACAATATAAATATTTTATTGGATTTTGAATTGTTACAGTAAAAATCTGGGACTATAACTATTCAACTCAGAGACAAGTGTAGTCCAATGTCATAATCTTGGAGTGATCTGAAGAAAAATGTTCCCAGTTAAGGTTAAATAGATTCTCTTTTTCTTAAATTTCTTCCATTTAGCATAATACCATATGTTAGGTCACTTCATGTCCTGATCATAACGTTTCAAACTATTGCATATTTTTCTTGGAGTTTTCAACTCTCTCTTATTTGGGTAGTTGAGATTTAAAAAATGTGTCTTTATTAGAATATTACTAATATCTCCTTGCTTTTGCTTACTTTGTCCTTTGTCTGGAACTCAACTCTTCCTACTTCTTAAAGGTTGTTTTTGAAGCTTATGCTTTCTCTTGTAATGTAAACTAATGTCGTTCCAGATATGATAAATAGCCGTCATTGGGGATTTCTTTCCATTGGATTCCTGGGTTAAATGCATCATCTTTCATCGTGCATCTTCTCTTGATTTTAAACTTCTTTGTGCTGGAATGTAGCTTCAAGAAACTTCTGAAGAATGAATCTATGTGAGGTAAATATTATTTGACAGTTTGACTGGGTATTAAATTTAGCTTCAAATTAACTTCCTGTCAGAGTGATGAAGGCATTGTGCTGTTGTTTCTCAGTGTCTCTGTTGAGCTCTGTTAAAAGTCTGATTCTTGTCCTTTGAACATAAGGTTACCAAATAAATACAAGATGCCAGCTAAACTTAAATTTAGTATAACTAAAACATAATTTTTAATGTAGTTATGTTCCATGCAATGTGCAATACTTAAGGAATACTTATACTAAAAAAAATTCATTGAAATCAAATCTAAGTGTGAGTTCTAGATTTGTATTTAAATCTAGCAGTCCTATTTGAAGGTCAACTGCTTTTTCTTTTCTAAATGACCTTAGGATCTTCTCGTTACTCTCTCTCTGTTTTAAAATGTCTGAAGAGTATGTGTAAATTTGGCTTTTATTTTTTAAGTTCTTACTGCCTAGCACTTGTTCAGCTCCAGAATATTTTCTTGTATTATTTCTTGAATAATTTTCTTCCCTCTGCTTTATTAGTTTTTCATAATCCTAATTAGCTTGGTATTGGGCCTTCTGAATTAAGTCTCTATAGGTCTATTCTTTTTGCTTCTCTCTTCTATATCTTTTTTTTTTTGTTTTATGTCCTGGCAATGTACTCAATTTTAAAGTTTTTAGTAATTGGAACTTTCATTTCTAAGAATTCTTTGTTACTCGTTGAATTAACATTTTCTTGGCATCTTTTCTTTGATTTGTGAATGTACCAGTCCTCATATCTTTCCAAGGATATATGAGATCTCTCTTTTGCTTTGATTTAAATTCTCATCCATTTCCTGAATTGTTTTTATTTCTTCTGGAGTCAGTTCTGATATTTATTTCAATCTTTTTCTTTCAGGTTTCTATTTTACTCTCAGGTGTTTGGAGATCATTGTTTATCCACATTTAGGAATAAACAACAAGGTAAATGATTCTAGGTAATGGATAAGGTTTCCTCTGTTGGGTACTTGTTCCCAAAGGAAGACAAAACGAAGCTCTCCCTATGCAGGTAGACCTTACCAGACTCTGATGAATGTGATCAGATAGGGTGCTTGGAGTCTTCTAAATGTCAGAATGAGTAATGTTCTGGGAACCCAATGATAATTGGTCTAATTCTCTCTAGGAAGCAAGCTTATTTATTTATTTTAGGGGAGAGATATATTGCCCCCAGGATAACAACTGTGTAGCCTATTGTTTTCAAGAGGATGCACATGCACCCTCATCTGGTTGCTCTGTGGACAGAGTTTTGTTGAACTCTCTCTCTCTCTTTTTTTCTTTTTTTTCTTCTGTTTTAATTCTTACTCTTGTCTCCTGTTGGCTCTAAGCCTGGAAGGTAATTTTCTCTTGCAATTATTCTGGTCTGCAAATTCTTTAGCTTTGTTCTGTTTGCTTTATATCTTCTAGAAACTTGTTGAAATCATGAAGCCCTCAGTGATCCCTTCTTATTTTCTTTACTGTTATGAATTTAGTCTATTAAAACAGTTCTTGAATTTTGGGAGGGAAAGAAGACAAATGTATGTCTTTGGTCCATAGTATTTAACCAGAAATTTCTCTCTTTTATTACTTTCTATCATTTCTTCACCAAATGTTCTCTAATGATAATAATGTATGCCTTCAGAATGGGTGAATTTTTGGTTTACAAAACACCATTAAATGCATTCTCATTTATCTCCCAGAGGTGGGAAAACATATTTTCCTCAAAGTAAATTTCTTAAAATATCTTTCTTATTTTTTTAAATAATGAAGTGACCAAGTATATGCCAATGTGCCTCGCACACTTGATGGTAGAGAATAACTGCTTGATAAATAGTATATCTCTTTATTGTTTTCTGTTAAGAATATAGATATTGAGTGTATTTTTAAATGTTGAAATAAAGACATATTTGGATATATGTTGCTTGGAAAACAGATTTAAAAAAAAATACCTGCTCCTACTTTGGGATAAGAAAGATTAATGACAAGATTATTGAAACTATTTGGAACTCAGAGCTAAAACTCACCATGAAACTGATGACATTATTTATTCCATTGTAGCAAACACTGATAGAACTTTTTAATACAGTAATAAGCTATAGGTTTATTAAACTATATAGTTTTTAAATTATAAAAATACACATGGTTGTGATCTATAGATAAGATCTCTGAGGGTCAGGGGAGTTAAGAAATTTTCACAACATTACACAATAAGTGAGTCAGTCACTGAGTAAGAACTCAACCCAAATCATTTGACTTCACATCAATCTCTTCATAGTTCAAATTCACAGGATTTGAAAAATAAATGTATGCATGATAAGATTGAGCTTGTTCTATGATGTAAATATGAATAACTATTAATACTATTTCATTTGCAGTGAAATTGTATGCTTTAACAAGTCAAGTCATCAATGGAGAGATGCAATTTTATGCTAGAGCTAAACTTTTTTATCAAGAAGTACCAGCCACAGAAGAGGGTATGATGGGAAATTTCATTGAATTGTCCAATCCGGATATCCAGGCCTCTCAGAAATTTCTTAGAAAATTTGTTGGGGTGAGTTACTCAACTGCAGCTTGTGAGAGGGCAGAGCCCTTGCAAATATTGAGCTCACATGCATCTATGTGGTCACCTAAGGCAGGTTAAAGTCATATGAGTCAACCACTAGTTCTTTCTGAAATCCTGTTTTAAGGTGTTCAGAAGGGATGGAGACCCATTGAGTGGCTCAAACTTGGCATACAAGGCCCCTAGCACCAGCTAATCTTACATGCTTCAAGGTGAGATAGCAGTGCCATATTACAGTTTGGGGTAAAGAAGACATCTCTTTCAGAGTCCCATCAATAATCAATTGGCACCCAAGTGACTGATGAGAGACCAGGTCCTCCAGGATCTTGAGTTTACTTACTGATTCCCTGTAAGAAAGATGAGATATAATAAGGAAGTGCATATTTATGTTCAGTTTAAAAGCTATAAGGTCAGTAGAATCCCTTTATACTCTCTGTTCCTAGTTCAGATTTTGCCTTGCAAAGACTGTGATCTCTCTGTGGTCCTGGTGTTGGATGAATCCTCACCTCCTTACTTCTGTGTCCTACGGAGACAGACAGAATAGTGAAGGGGATTAAACCTTGGACTTTAAAGTCACTATTGTTCTCCTCTTTATCGCCTAAGTAACCTCAGCCTTGTTACTTAAATGCACTAAATTTCAGATTTCTTACCTGTGAGTAGGGCATGATGATGAAATCTACCTTATAGAACAAGGCAAAGATAACATGAGAAGACACATGTTAAGTACCTGCCTTAGTGTACAGAATTAGTTCCTGATAAGTATAGTTAATTGTTACTATTAATAATAACGGGCTTTCTTTTAACATGTCCATAATAATAACAGGCTTTCTTTTAACATGTCCATTTTTAGGAACTTCATCTAGTTGTTAGAATAGACTTAATCCACAGAGTACGCCTGCCATTGGTCCTGATGAAGACATAAATACATAACTGGAAAACAGATTTTGTTCTAATTCATTATGAAGTCATTTGTTTGAAATGTAGAGCTCTATTCATTCTAGTGAAGGAAATTATAAATATTAGGCTTTGTGGTTAGACTGTCACCCTACTCAGCATTGTAATTAAGAATGTCCCACCAGCAGATGGCATAATGGTTACTCGCTGGACTCCCATGTAGTCAACCATAGTTTGAGACCTGAACCCAGTAGCTTAAAACTTACACCAGGCTTGTGTGCCCAAAATCCTGAGAGGAGAATGGAGAAGGGGTTGCAGAGAGGCCATCTTCCCTGTGTGGGGGAGTGATTTCTTGCTTTCTGTCTCTGGTGAATGCAGAAAAATTTCTCTAAAAAAAAAAAAATAGTGTCCTTTGTGTTGGGATGAGATTCACCTCATAGCCAACCTCCCTGGAGCACCCAGAACCTGAATCCAGAGCCTGGAAATAGAGATGGGACCAGGACATCCTCCTGTCAGAGTGTCAGGATTTAGCTGTCATGGGACCAGAGAACCTGGGGTTCATGACCATGGGCCCATGAGTGTGTAGGCTGGGCAGACCTGGAGTGCTTCCAAGTCAGGACACTGACCGATTTCACTGACCCCGCTTTCTGAGATGGTCAGTCATCCCAAGTGCATTAGAAGCATTATCTCATTTATGGGATAAGAAAGATTAATGACAAGATTATTGAAACTATTTGGAACTCAGAGCTAAAACTCACCATGAAACTGATGACATTATTTATTCCATTGTAGCAAACACTGATAGAACTTTTTAATACAGTAATAAGCTATAGGTTTATTAAACTATATAGTTTTTAAATTATAAAAATACACATGGTTGTGATCTATAGATAAGATCTCTGAGGGTCAGGGGAGTTAAGAAATTTTCACAACATTACACAATAAGTGAGTCAGTCACTGAGTAAGAACTCAACCCAAATCATTTGACTTCACATCAATCTCTTCATAGTTCAAATTCACAGGATTTGAAAAATAAATGTATGCATGATAAGATTGAGCTTGTTCTATGATGTAAATATGAATAACTATTAATACTATTTCATTTGCAGTGAAATTGTATGCTTTAACAAGTCAAGTCATCAATGGAGAGATGCAATTTTATGCTAGAGCTAAACTTTTTTATCAAGAAGTACCAGCCACAGAAGAGGGTATGATGGGAAATTTCATTGAATTGTCCAATCCGGATATCCAGGCCTCTCAGAAATTTCTTAGAAAATTTGTTGGGGTGAGTTACTCAACTGCAGCTTGTGAGAGGGCAGAGCCCTTGCAAATATTGAGCTCACATGCATCTATGTGGTCACCTAAGGCAGGTTAAAGTCATATGAGTCAACCACTAGTTCTTTCTGAAATCCTGTTTTAAGGTGTTCAGAAGGGATGGAGACCCATTGAGTGGCTCAAACTTGGCATACAAGGCCCCTAGCACCAGCTAATCTTACATGCTTCAAGGTGAGATAGCAGTGCCATATTACAGTTTGGGGTAAAGAAGACATCTCTTTCAGAGTCCCATCAATAATCAATTGGCACCCAAGTGACTGATGAGAGACCAGGTCCTCCAGGATCTTGAGTTTACTTACTGATTCCCTGTAAGAAAGATGAGATATAATAAGGAAGTGCATATTTATGTTCAGTTTAAAAGCTATAAGGTCAGTAGAATCCCTTTATACTCTCTGTTCCTAGTTCAGATTTTGCCTTGCAAAGACTGTGATCTCTCTGTGGTCCTGGTGTTGGATGAATCCTCACCTCCTTACTTCTGTGTCCTACGGAGACAGACAGAATAGTGAAGGGGATTAAACCTTGGACTTTAAAGTCACTATTGTTCTCCTCTTTATCGCCTAAGTAACCTCAGCCTTGTTACTTAAATGCACTAAATTTCAGATTTCTTACCTGTGAGTAGGGCATGATGATGAAATCTACCTTATAGAACAAGGCAAAGATAACATGAGAAGACACATGTTAAGTACCTGCCTTAGTGTACAGAATTAGTTCCTGATAAGTATAGTTAATTGTTACTATTAATAATAACGGGCTTTCTTTTAACATGTCCATAATAATAACAGGCTTTCTTTTAACATGTCCATTTTTAGGAACTTCATCTAGTTGTTAGAATAGACTTAATCCACAGAGTACGCCTGCCATTGGTCCTGATGAAGACATAAATACATAACTGGAAAACAGATTTTGTTCTAATTCATTATGAAGTCATTTGTTTGAAATGTAGAGCTCTATTCATTCTAGTGAAGGAAATTATAAATATTAGGCTTTGTGGTTAGACTGTCACCCTACTCAGCATTGTAATTAAGAATGTCCCACCAGCAGATGGCATAATGGTTACTCGCTGGACTCCCATGTAGTCAACCATAGTTTGAGACCTGAACCCAGTAGCTTAAAACTTACACCAGGCTTGTGTGCCCAAAATCCTGAGAGGAGAATGGAGAAGGGGTTGCAGAGAGGCCATCTTCCCTGTGTGGGGGAGTGATTTCTTGCTTTCTGTCTCTGGTGAATGCAGAAAAATTTCTCTAAAAAAAAAAAAATAGTGTCCTTTGTGTTGGGATGAGATTCACCTCATAGCCAACCTCCCTGGAGCACCCAGAACCTGAATCCAGAGCCTGGAAATAGAGATGGGACCAGGACATCCTCCTGTCAGAGTGTCAGGATTTAGCTGTCATGGGACCAGAGAACCTGGGGTTCATGACCATGGGCCCATGAGTGTGTAGGCTGGGCAGACCTGGAGTGCTTCCAAGTCAGGACACTGACCGATTTCACTGACCCCGCTTTCTGAGATGGTCAGTCATCCCAAGTGCATTAGAAGCATTATCTCATTTAGTCTTCATAATGATTCTTGGAGGCAGGTACTATTAGTAGCTCTGGTTTTGCATTTGTGGAAACTGAGTCCTGGAAAGGTTAAATAAGTTGTCAGGGTTCACACTTGGGAGAGACAGAGCTGGGATGCTGGCTTGGCCAATTCTGTCTGACACCAGACTCCTCATTCATAACCATGACATATTTTTTCCATTTGTCTCATGAAGCTGAAAAATCCCCACTTTTTTTTTTTTTTTCCTATGGGCCACAGACCTTAACTCTCCTTCAGTCTGGCCCAGAGCAATCCCTCCTGCTTGCCTTGTGGTGAAGCTGGCTTTGATCCCGAAGCATTTCAGAAGCTTAGTTAGTAATCCAGCTGTCTTGTCACTCTGTGGAATGCCCAGCTGACCATAGGGATACTGGTCAGCAGAGCCACAGCACGCCCACGGCCCTGGGAAAGGAAACAGCCTATGCTTGTCTGTTTATGTTGGAGAAGAGGCAGCCTGCTCGTTTCACAGAAGCATAAGGAGCTCTTCTTAGGAGACATGGCTCATTGTAAAGCTGTGACCTCTAACTAAGAACAAACACAGTCTTTTTGATGACTGATATGTGACCTTAATAATGTGCTAAATTAGTATCCAGGTCAAGATAGAAGGAATTAGGGAATGTGAATATCTGCGTGATTTATTCTATGCCGGCTGAGAAAAGGCAGATTGTTTAATTTAGAATTTTGCTTCCCTTTCAACACTTAGTGACTTGGGACAGCAGAAGAGGTGTTTAAACTAGTTGCAAATGTACTTACTTTAGCAAATAAACAAGTGATACCAACATGATGTCAGTGTCATAGCTGACAACTTTCCTCCGTTGTAGCTTCCAGTGGGGAATATAACAATTCATAAACAGTAATTAGTCTTGGATGGTATTTATTTTTTGACATTTTCCAGAGTCGATGACTAAAAAATCTGGGTCTAACTTGTTATATTTCAACATAACTTGTTATATTTCAATATAAACTTGTTGTATTTTATGGTTTTTATACAGTGGCAAATTTCATTCAACTACATTCATTCATTTTGGTTTGTAATTCCACTGGATGAACTTAATGTTCTTCAAAACAAAATATATAGGCAGAATCAAAACTAAAATGCAATTGCTAGTAGCATTTTATTGTTTTATGTGAATCCTTACACATGAAGATGGCACGATGAGTGAAAATGAAAATAACAAAACATCTGTTATAAAGACACACATCCTGTGCAGTTCTAGCCACAGTGGTGCCACATTTCAGTTGTCACAGCTCAGGCAGTGGGGGTGTCAGAGGTGAGAAACGTCCTGAGATCATTCTTTAAATATCCCTTCTGGAGGAGCTGCATTTGAATGAGAGACAGAAAGGGCCTTGGTGCCAGGGTATGGGAGGCAGCACCTTCTACAGACGAAATGTGTTAAAGAGATGAGGCCTCAGGAGAGGCCAGAGGTCTGTGGCATTGAGTGAAAGGAGCCTTTCTGCTTTTGTAAATACCAATATTTTGAAGAATAGTTGTTGTCGAATATCCCACATCTAAACTGGTGAAGACTTTCCATTAGAGGATGAGAATTTTCAAGCATTTCACCTCTCTGGGATTTGGCTTCATCTGAAAAAGTGAAAGCATTAGCCATCAGTGAGTTAGAGGTGCTAAGCTTCTGCTGAGAGTTTCAAGGGCCTCCTTGGAGAATCATGGCTGGATTGAGGGCTCTTTGCTTCATTGTTCCATGGTTCTACTTCTAAAACTACATTAATAAGCACAACATGATCAATAGAAGTGGCTTGAGCAAAGTAATGATAAAAACAACTTGCAATGAGAGTCTGTTATTGGGCTTAGAAATGTCTAGTACAGTCATTTCTAAGAGCTTAAAATAATTTCTCTATTGTTTCCCCCATCTTGTTTATGTTATGTATGAATTTACTTAGAAGATGCTGCTTTTACAACACTCATGAGATAAACCTTTAGCTTAGACCTTTCTCTGAATGAGGCTGGTTTAAATTACAGTACTGGCACGAGGGAGGTGACAGCGTAAGCAGAAGTGGCAAACCCAGAGCAATGTACTCTTACTTCCCTTCCCACGCTCAAGGCAGACCCACTAGTCAATCACAGATCTCTTCCGTGCTCAGTGTGAACAGAGCCTTAGAATTCTTTTAAAAAGCTTATTTTTTATTATTTATTGTTATTATTTATACATTCAATTGCTATACATCATTTAGATTATAAAGAGACTTTACCCAGCATGATATACACCTCAGACCAGTCCAGTTGAGAATACTATACTTGTCAGCAACAGATAATAAACCATATCTGTGTCCCACAAATGTCTTACCTCTCTATTATTTTTCCTCAAATTTCTTTTAGAATTCTTGTCACAGTGGGACCAGCACATAGTGTAATGGTTAAGGTGTTGGACTCCCACATGGCCAATCATGGTTCGAGTCCTGAATCTGGTGGCTTGAGAATTACTTCAGGCGTTTATGCATGCAATGCCCAAAATCCCAAGAAGATTGTGGTGTGGCCAATCTCTGTGGGGGTGATTTCTCACTTTCCTTCCCACTGTCTCTCTCCAGTGAGCACACACACCCTGTGGCAACAACCTTAAAAAAGTACGAAAAAAGAATTCTTGTTACCACAGCATTAGACAGACACCACCAAGGGGATCAGAGTCGAGATGACATCCCTAATATGAAACTGGCTCTGTTCCTGTTGGTCAGACAGTTTCTGTTCAAATTCTAGCTCTGTCGTTGGCTCTGTACAGTTAGAAATCTGAGTTTTCGTATCTCCAAAATGGGGATAATAATCACTACCTTATGAGGTTTTTTTTTTGATGACTGTAGCTATTATATATGTAAAGAGCTTGCTACATAGAATCACTCAGTAACCGTAATTATTATTGGCCCGTTTGAAAAGACGCTCCAATTGCTGCACTTTTTGATCTCCGTTGTACCTTTCCAGCATGCTGAAGGCCTTTGGGGCCTGGAGAGCAGCTTTCTGCTTCTCTCTCTGCTCATACTTCACCTTTGATCCTTCGCCAATTTCTTTTTTAATCCTTAGTTCCTGAGAAATCAAGAGTAGGCTCTCTCCTTAAGATCTTGATTGGCAACTTCAAGTATCTAGTTACTGTAATTTCTAGCATGAAACCTATTCAGCAGCCATCTCAATTATGAGCAAATAATGTAGACCAGCTGAATCTTCATAAATCAGAGAGCGTAACGTTTTATAGACACGAGTTTGAGGAAGTATATTGGCTGATTTCTCCCTACTGCTACCCTCCTCATCCCCTCACCCCCAGCTAAGTTAATGCACAGGCCTACTTTAGAAAACGTTTTCAGGGTTTTGTGCCCAATAAATCCTGTAGTTTCTGGTAAAAAGGCAGAACACGTATTTTAGCATTGAAGGAGGAGAGGAGACTTTGCCGAAACTGCCTTTCGTCCACATGAACATGCTGTGTGCCGTTGGGGCTGGATTTGAAATAAGGTTCTGGCCTGAGAATAGAACGATTTGCGTTTTTCAGCTCAGGTTTCCAAATTTATCAGTTACAAAAGAGGGACAGATATTCAGAGCCTCCTAAATCGGTTTAAAAAGAAAATTTAAATTATCCCAATGTAAACCTAAATGTTCCCATTGAATTTTTGAAGTAATTTTGAAACTCAGACTCTCACCATTTACTCTTTTTTTCCCCTCAGCACAATAACCTACAGTACAGATTCGTTTAGCGGTGGGTTCCGCTCGGATTTATAGTAACAGAATTCTGTATTCATAGGGCTACCGAGGGCTCATTTCTTGGAGAAATTTGTCAAGTGTTTAAACCTAAAATATTGCTTTTTTGACCATCTTAGTTTGAAATTCTTTAGAAACTTGTCTTTAAAGTAGTTGAAGGTTCTATATCTCAATCGGGGTAGTGAGCACCTGGCTGAAATCTCTGTCCAGACTCACTGAATTACATACTTACAATGGTGTATTGTACTGCATAAAATTCTTTTTTTTTTTTTTTAATTTACTTGATGTGGACTTGATGGAGATAGAGAGAGAGAACAAAAGAAAATTAGACAGAAAGCAACCCCTCCAGCCCTTGAGGCTGAAGCCATGCCACAATCCCTTCTCCTCCATTCTCTTCTTGGGGTTTTAGGCAATTGGGATTTGGGACACACATGCACACATGCCTGGTCTGTTTTTCAATCCCCTAGTCGGCTATGTGGGATCCAGTCCCCTTAACCACCATCACTGGCTGGGCTTAAAATCCACCTAAATAGAGTTGATTAAAGAGGTCACTGCAGTATCCAAAAGCCAGGTGGGTCTCTATACCTGAAGTGGCTCACGAATTCCTCTCTGTAGGGGCCTGGGAGAGCCGGCACAGACTGCGCCCTGGACTGCGGCTCCGGCATAGGGAGGGTCAGCAAGCATGTCCTGTTGCCGGTTTTCAACAGCGTGGAGCTGGTGGACATGATGGAGTCATTCCTCCTGGAAGCCCCCAACTACCTGCAGGCCAAAGGGGACAAGGTAGAAAACTACCACTGCTATAGCCTGCAGGAATTCACGCCACCCTCAGGGAGATACGATGTCATCTGGATTCAGTGGGTCTCCGGTTAGTCCTGCATGGCGTGGCCTCTGCCTCTCCCTCTCCCTACTTCTCAGTCAGAGAGACCACACCGCAGGGCTCAGGAGCACACAGGAGGTGAGCTAGTGGGTGTCCTATGGGTGACCCAAAGGCTGGTCCTCTGACATCTCCCCTGACACCCTCTGTTCTCTTCCCTCTAGGGATGGAGTAAATGCCTTTGAACTGAGTTAAATCCTTGAAGAAATATAAATATTTGACAAAAATTTAAAAGTGGGGTTAAAAAAGTTAATGTCCATTTATTGGCAGAACTAGACATTCTTAGATTTAAAATCCCCAGAAAATGAGTCAGCAGTGCATTAGGTCATGTGTGTGTGTGTGCGTGTGTGTGTGTCTGTGTCTGAGCGTGTGTGTAGGAGACCCAATACAGGAGTTATACACAGCTGGGACAAGGAAGGACTTGTTGGGGAGACATTAGCTTAGCTCATGCCTGGCAGGTAGAGGGCCAGGTAGATATCTCTTTTATAGAAAGGGGCCTAAGTGTCCTCAAAGAGGACATGCATCCTTTTTCCTGAATTCCCAGTGTCCTGCAACTGAACACAAGGCTGTTAAATGACTCTGAGCAGTGGAGAACGGTCTCCTGATTCTAGCCCCTGTCCTTTCCTCCTTTCCCCTCCCTCGGCACCCTCTCTTCCTACACCCACCTGCATGGCCTCCTGTAGGGTACCTGACTGACAAGGACCTTCTTGCGTTTCTCTGCCGGTGCCGAGATGGCCTGAAAGAAGACGGCGTCATCATACTGAAGGACAACGTGGCCCGGGAGGGCTGCCTCTTGGACCTGGCGGACAGCAGCGTGACTCGGGACATGGAAACGCTCCTCAGTCTCATTGGGAAGAGTGGGCTGGGGGTGCTGGGCCAGGAGCAGCAGGGCGGCTTCCCCGAGCAGTGCGTGCCCGTGTGGATGTTCGCGCTGCACAGTCATGGCCGCTCCTGACCGTGGGGCACTGACCCAGCAGCGCACTCTGAGACGGGTGCCTCGTCTGAGGTGCTCTGTGTGCAGACTGGACAGAGAAGGATGAATGCATGTCAGCAGTAGTGCCAGTGTTCACGAACGAGGTAACACACACCCTTTGCTGAGACTCGCACGTAGTCCTCGGAGTTTCTGAGCAAATTTTCGGTTCCGCAGAGTGAAACATCAGGAAATCTGCCTTAAGAAAGTGCTGTAAACACCTAACCATACAAGTGTACATGAAAGCAGAAAAAAAGGAACAACTTGCACAGATTCTAACCTGTCCTGGTCCCTGGGAATGCGTGCAATGGAGTAGTCCAGGATGATGGGAGGAAGCCCAGACCCGTCTCCCCACCTAGCGGCCCTGGCTGCACTTCTCTCCCACATCCCACTTCTCTGGGACGAGCATCTCTACCTAATTCTGAAGGCATAGTCAAAAGAGTCTTATGCAGCAGGTTCACCACTTAATTTTGTCTCTAGCCATGTCTTGGCAGAAAAGGCACTTGCTTTCACTTTCTATTTTAGGTCAGTTTCACTGCCCAGCTATGCGTTAGGAATGTAATTGGACAACAGGAGTCTGTGCGGCAGTGAAGGAGAAGTGTCCTCTTTCAGAGGAAAATGCTCTACCCTGAGATTTCAGTCTGATAAGCAAATGTCATCGATAATCTAATTTTAGCCATTGGCTTCCAGTTCTGCTTGCTTCATGGCAGCTGCTTCTGGGTCCTTGACTGAAATGAATGCACATTGGAAAAAGGAGCAGCATAGAAATACTAACCCCGAAGATGGAACTAACTGGATTAATATAAGGCATTGACTGAATTAAAGATAATCTAAAATCTTTGCAAAAAATGTAATTCACTTTTTATTAGCCGGATGTTTAAATATAACTTCGATGGTCTTTAAAAACGCTCCAGTGTTTTCATGCTGAACACATTCTTGTGTGTGGTATACACTGAGTCTCCCATGAAGTGCCAAGAATTAGCTTCAGGAAAGAGGTATGCGACATAGATGTGCTGTTACCGTGGAGGTCATATTTTACAGCACACAGCTCTCACTTAGGAGGGCAGCGATCACTATAAATGCCTACTGCCTTGTTGTGGCATTCCCTTGGTGGTTTCATTTATTGCTCTGGAAAAGTCACATCACCCACTCTGCCCATGGCCTTCCAGCTGCTGTTCTCCACTCACCGTGCTCCCAGCTGCTATGTGTCACTCACTGTGCTCTAAGGCAACATAGCAGAACGTGGCTCAGAACCGGAGTGAGCAAGAGAAGAAACGCAGTCAAATGGTAGCTATCACCGCAGACCCAGTGAGGCCAGCGAGGTGCTCACGCTTTACAGTCCTTTATAAATCTCGGAGCATATTAGCATCTTCTTCTTAGGGCCTTCGTGAGCATTGCCTATTTCTTTTACACCAGTACCCTTAATCATTTACCTCTTAACTTTCTGCTTGGCCAGTACTCAACAACTCACATAGTTGTCAGATTTCTCCCTTCCTGGATTTCTGACCCTATGGAGGAAAGAACACGATGGTCCTGTGCAACCCTTTTGAGGTCTTTGAGGTTGACTACTGGTCTCTTTCCTCCTTAGGCAAGTCACTCTGCATTCTCCTTAGAAATTTTCCGTGTCTTTATTACTCTCCACAATTTCCCAGCTCCATGTGTATCTTTCATTTAACGGAGAAGGTAGAAATTGGGAGGTAAATTGTGTCAAGATCTCCCTCTGAACTGTTAATGCTAGGTACCAGTAAAGAGAAGCCTGGCTTGAGAAGACTAGCCTGAGGCCTAGACTAGCCTGGGAGGCCATGTGAAGGTTTGGATATGCTATTTACAGAACAAGCAGAAGTTCTTGAAGGATAAGTAAGAGGCTGAGGTCTGTGGTGCCGGAAGTAGAGTCGCAGGGACTGTGGAAGGAGGGCATTTGAGTGAGACCCACCCCAGTCACCTTCGCTTTCAGATTGATGGAGTCAACACACTGCTTGTGTCCCTCTGCCTACCTGGAAGCTGGTGCTATGAGCGACAGCCCATGTTAGCTCCCAAGCACTGCCCCTAGTCCAGCTGCCTCAAGATCACTGGGGACATTACATACAGGGATTCCCAGGCTCCATCACCATGAGAGTTTGGTTCTGTGAAATGGGATAACATAATTTGTACTTTTTTTTTTTTTTTTGGAGAGGTTTTTGCTACAGGGTGTGTGCACTCTCCAGAGAGACAGAGAGACAGAAAGCGAGAAATCACCCCCCAGGGGTTGTCACACCGAGGAGGTTTTCCTTTTTTTTTTTTTTTTTTTTTTGGAGAGGTTTTTGCTACAGGGTGTGTGCACTCTCCAGAGAGACAGAGAGACAGAAAGCGAGAAATCACCCCCCAGGGGGGATGGCCATGCCTTAATCCCTTTTCCTCCATTCTCCTCTTGGGATATTGGGCACACACACACACTCGCCCAGCATGAGTTTAGGCCACTGGGTCCAGGACTCAAACTGTAGTCGACTACATGGGAGTCCCGCAACATAGCCATTACACCAATTGCTGGTCCCTATAATTTGTACTTTTTATCAAGTCTTAAAATAATTCTGAACATTAGTTTTGTTTGTGGTCACTGATGGGGGGAGGGACTGGGCTCTTTAGAACCACAGAAAGATAATGCAAGCTAGGACCAGGCTGGGGGAAAGTGCTGGCTACTAAATCCACCCTCCATGTTGAGGCCGGTCTTTCTAAAGCACAGATCTGGCCACATCACAGATAAACTTCCACTGGCTCCCAGGACTTACAGGGTGAATCCCCATCTCTGCATGACCTCTCCAGCCACTTACACACCCCTACAGCTGCACTTGACTGCTTATGTTCTCTGAAGGAGCCATGATTTATGGCCCAGGACATTTATAGAAGTTGCTACTTTAGCACAGAATATCTTTCACCCTCTGCTGTCTGGCCTCGACTGCTTAGGCATTGCTGACTCCTGGGTAGCTTCCGTCTAACCAGGAGCTGGGCTAGTGCCCTGATTCTGGGCTACCCTCACCCATACCACAGCATGTCTGTGGACTCATGGTCTTCAGCTTACCTGCTCTTTCCCCTATGAAGTTCTGAGCTCCATGATGGAGTATTCATTCATCTCAGCCTTCGTCAAAGGCCCTCGTGCACTGCAGGAAATCAAAACAGTTGAAAAATGCAATGCAATGGTAAAGACAGAAACTCTTAGGGCACTCTTGGTTTCTGGGGGCAACAAGGAGGAGTCAGAATAAAGAAGCAGGAAAAACAAAGGCTTCTGAAGTCAAGAGCACTGGGATGACCAAGACTGGTCAAAACAGTGATCAGAGCCAGGCAGGGACACAGCAGCAGAGCAAGGCTTTGTGTTCTGGACCCTCTTCCCAAGGCCTCCCTCCACATGCTGGACACATGTGCTCATGCCTGTGATCTGGACTGGCTGAGGCTGGGGCTGGGTCATGGCATGAGGGCCCCGTGTAGGGGATGCCAGTCTATCTCTTTCTGTCTGTCTCATGGAGGAAGAAAATAAACTAATTGCATATACACACACTCACACACAGTGATTAACTAATCCAAGTGGCAAGAACCAGGTGATACACAGAAGCAGTGAGCTCTGGGATCTGACAAGCACCTGGGGGAGCGATTTGCATGTGAAGACTAGGTCTTGAGGTAGAGCTCTGCCTATTAGAAGGTATTTCTCTTTCTCTGAATAGTAGCCAACCCAAGGATATGGTCAACCCAAGGCCCATAATTTCACTAGGGAAGGTGTGTACCTGATAAGAAAGAGAAGTTAAAATTGGGTGTGAATTATAAAAAAGTAGTTCCTAATCTTGCTCATTTCCTGCTAAGCAACAGGTCTGAAGAAACTAACTCACAAGGTTATAGATGAAGTTAATCCTCCTGTGAATGTTGACTAGAAGTTGAAGTTGTTCAATTGTATTTCACAGATTAATTCATTGCAAACTCGTGAATGGGTGCAGGGTTCACCCATCCTTCTGAGAACCTGAGCTGCCAGTGCCGAGTACCAGTTAGATGCAAGTCAAGTCTTCAGGGATCAGTAATGTTATAGATTGGGTACTGTCATAAAAATATAAAACTAAATGAATAAGGTTGTCCACATGAAAGATGATCTGCTTTGTATTATGGATGCATTTTATCACCATCTTTTTTTTTTTTTCTCTTTCCCATTTCCTGTAACTGGGCTGTTTTGAGTGATGTATTGGGGAGAAGGCCTATGTCAGATATATTCAGCTCCCTGTCATGAGTAATTAAAACCAGTTGTGTTATTGCTTTCCTTAGTTCCAGCTGACTCTTTGATGCTTTGGTGTCCAGGCCAAAAAAACTACCTCTTATAATCATCAGAGGCCAGTGTTTTTGCAGAGGTCACTGCAAGCTAATTAAGCAAATATGTGAAAAATAGATTTAAATTATGTCAATTAGTAGAGTGTATGTATACATGTCTTTAGAGTGGGGGTTGAGAGAGATGTTTTAAACAATTACTGACTTGCAGAGCCAATGTTTCTGTGTCAGACAACCGTGTCTGTGCAGCACCATCGTACACTCATGAAGTCGGCATGGTCTGACCGTTTGCTATATGGTGGGTACTGTCTTCATTTCTGCAAATAAACATAGAAAATGTCTAAGAAGATGATGGCTCACTAATGGGAAAGACAAATACATAAATAATAATAAAAATCCAGGATCAAAAGGACTTAAAGATTGGTATGTAGGAAGAGTTCTTTCTTTTCTTTCTTTTTCTTTTTTTTCTTTTGAGAGTGTTTTTGCTATAGGGTGCATGCGCTCGCCAGAAAGACAGAGAGAGACAAAGAGACAGAAAGCAAGAAATCACCCCCCAGGGGGGATGGGCACACCACAATCCCTTCTCCTCCATTCTCCTTTCAGGATCTTGGGCACACATGCACACGCGCCCGGCGTGAGTTTAAGCCACCGGGTCTGGGACTCGAATCATGGTTGACTACAGGGGAGTCCAGTGACATAGTCATTACGCCAACTGCTGGTCCCTGTATGAAGAGTTAAAGTTGGGGTTGGGATTTTGTCGACCAGAGTCATGAATAGAAGGTTGTGTTAAATAAATACAAGTCTAGTGTTTAACCAGCTGATTGACTGATGGAATATTTCATATTCCATTCTGTGAAGTGGAAATACAGATTAATAAAAAGCTCTCCAGGTTATTTGATTATAAAGTTGTGCTGTAACAACCATGTATATGTATGCTATTGCTTTTTCAAAAGAAAAATATTACCTAATATAATTAGTATATTATATTAAGATAGTTAGTATGTTGTATAAAAATATTATATTAATATAAAGAAAATAGTAACCTTCTCCATCTCTGGGACTTGTCTATACA